GGCATTGTTTACTCATGAAAAGCCAGGACATTTTCTTCTCTGGCTTCCCAAAGTCCGGCCCCCTAAAGTCGGTTAACTGGCCCTTTGTTTAGAAAGTTTGAAGACCCCTGCCCTAGACCATGGTCTCACCCTTTGCTTGCCATTATCTGGCCGAGTTTCCAAATGGTCAGTCCGCCCCTGATATATATATATATATATATATATATATATATATATATATATATATATATATACACACACACACACACACAAATACATACATTGCAAGTATGCTGTATGCAACAGATCTGGTAGAGCTGCAAAGGACTCAACTATATCATTCTGACACGGACATGAATTTGTCACCATACCAAGAGACAGACATCAACAAAGTATTTACAACACTCTATATTCCAACAAGTCCTCAATTACACGGGCTTACCTATGTGCATGCCCATGCATGCAGCTGACTTTGCCAGCAAGGGATGCACAGGAGTTCCATGCAACTGCGTGCAGGAATCCCCATTTAGGTCTACTGGGATGCAACAGCTGTGGGGGCACAGCTACTGGTCCCAATTAGACAGCCGTGCGGGTGCGTGCCCCCAAACTAATACTGTCTGCTTTCAGGGACACGCACCCGCACACGTCAACTTGGGACCAGTGGCTGTGTCCATGCAGCCGCTGCATCTCAATAGGCACGAATAGAACTGCTTACATGCAGATACATGTACACCCGAATGCCCTTTTCACATGTATATGCACAGATATGCCCATGTGAAGGAGGCCTGTTTTTTTTTTTTTTTTTTTTTTCGTTTTTTTTTTTTTTTTAATGGGATTTAGCGCAACTTCTCAATCAACACTGACTCTTTTTAATCCTTATGAATCGAACATTAATAAATGGATAAGAAGGTATATTATATTTACTTGTTTTAAACATTTTTCGATCCCATTTCTTAAGTTACTTCCTGGTTTCTATGCCTAGGCATATGAGGTCATACATCCCAGGAGTCATCAGGAGGGGAGGAGGGGTTTTCTCAGCTAAGCACATCCTCCTGCCTGTGTGGCTGAGCCAAGGGTAAATGGATTCCAGGAAGTAAATGCAACATGAATCATCTGCCCTTTCTTAAGATGGCCACAGCAAGAAATGCTGCAAGAGCGTTTCTCAAAGTGATTTGTCAGCAAAATAAAGCATGGAAACATGGATGGATGGGAGGGGGGTTGTTTGAATACAAAAAATTTACAAAACAGCATTTTTGTTTTTTGACGTTCAGATCCAATGTGGATCCACTTTACACATACCAGTATCGGATTCTGCCAGTCACAAATCTACTAAGCATTTCTAATTTACACATTTGGACAATTCAAACATGCGTATATAGAGGGGTTATCCAAGGGTATAGTTGGACCTACATATCAAATAATCACTGAGGAAGTCCAATCCATTAAATACAAAAAGAAAAAGGCCGGCCACATTCAGCTTCCTCATGAAGTCAGTATTTGCTCATAACCTATACACCCTATATCTCCAGATCTAGCAATCTTTTTTTCTTTTTTTACAATTAATTTTTAATTGAAATTCTGCATAAAAAAGACAGGAATACAAGAAAAAAAAAAATAAATCTGTCTTCAGCAATCAAAAGGTATATCCATAATGTCATGGGTTATACAACAAACAGCATAATGCAGAGTACAATAGGAGTTTCTATAAGCAGTCCCATGCATTATATATATAGCCTCCCCATGTGTGAAACACAAAGTTCACAAGATCAATACAAGCAAAAATGTTAACATAGTAGACTCCATACTCCAGTCACAAGTACAGTGGGAAAAGAAACACAGGTAGCGGACCTTTGGGTATGGAAGACCGTAAAGGAGGAGGGAAAGAACATCATCTGGGAAACAACAACAAAACCTCAAGTGGTTCGTGGGTCTATCAATACTCGCTCAGTATTCTGAGAGCTAGACGAACATGGTTCGTGAAACCGTCACCGAAATGTGTGCATCAACAGCAAAAAAACATCCACCGACATCTAAAAGCCAGGGGATCTCTCTACCAATCATTTTGACATGAGCTTTCACTAAACATCATAGGCTCAGGCTGAATTATTTATTATTATACAGTATTTATAAAGCGCCAATAGTTCGCTCAGCGCTGTACATTACAAAGGGGGACAGAACATGTGACAGAACAATACCAATACAATGCAAAACATGAGGGGATCGAGGGCCCTGCTCCTTGGAGCTTACAATCTAGGAGGGAGGGGATGGTGGCACAGGAGGAGATAGCTGTGGGGGATGGAGTGGTAGGAAGAGTGGAGGAGGTCGGCAGGTTAGCAGGGGGTGGGGTAGGCTTCCCTGAAGAGATGGGTTTTCAGGGTGCGCCTAAAGGAGAGGAGAGTAGGTGATAATCTTATGGGTTGGGGCAGGGAGTTCCAGAGGATGGGTGACACCCTGGAGAAGTCCTGGAGGTGGGCATGGGAGGAGGAGACCAGGGAACTAGAGAGAAGGAGGTCTTGTGAGGAGCGGAGTGTGCGTGTTGGGTGGTACTTGGATATTAGGTCAGTGATGTAGTTCGGGGCAGTATGGTGGACGGCTTTGTATGTCAGTGTTAGGATCTTGAATTTGATCCGTTGCGCAATCGGAAGCCAGTGGAGGGATTGGCAGAGGGGGGTGGTGGAGATGGAGCGGTTGGAAAGGTGAATGAGTCTGGCAGCCGTATTCAGGATGGACTGAAGCGGGGATAGCCAGCGGCGAGGCAGGCCAGTGAGGAGGGAGTTGCAGTAGTCGAGTCGTGATATGATGAGGGAGTGGATGAGCTGTTTAGTGGTTTCTGGGGTTAGGAACGTGCGGATTTTGGCGATGTTGCGGAGATGGAGTCTGCATGAGTTTGTTAAAGATTGGACTTGGGGCTGGAAGGATAGGTTGGAGTCCAGAATGACACCAAGTACTCTGGCCTGCAGGGCGGGTTTGATGGTGGCGTAATTGGATGTGATGGAGACGTCAATGGGGGGTGGGGTCCTGGCTGGGGGGAAGACAAGAAACTCGGTTTTGCAGAGGTTCAGTTTAAGGAAGTGGAGCGACATCCAGTCAGATATGTCGCTCAGTAGGTGTGTGATTCGGGCTGAGACTGAGGGGGTGAGGTGGTGGGGGTTGAGAGATAGATTTGTGTGTCTGATAGAATTGACACCAGCACTTACTGGCTCAATTTCTCTGCCTCTGGTATGGGGTATCATGTGATTCCACTTCTTCCCATACAGTCCTGGTGCTTGATGACTGGCTGCTCATATACCCAGCACTGTCACAGAGATGGTGAGGGAGTGGTCAACCTTCTGAATATGTGCAACTTGTACCTTACACTACTTGCACCCCTGTCCAGAGAGGTGGAGGGGAAAGTTAAGAGGGTTGTTGGGAAGTATACGCAGCTGTGGTCGCCATCAATAAAGCCCAACTCTGGGCATATACAGTGCCTTGTAAACGTATTCATACCCCTTGAAATTTTCCATATTTTGTCATGTTACAACCAAAAACATATAAAAGTATTTTATTGGGATTTTATACGATAGACCAGCACAAAGTGGCACATAATTGTGAAGTGGAAGGAAAATGATAAATTGGTTTTCAACGTTTTTGGCAAATAAATATCTGAAAAGTGTGGCATGTATTTGTATTCAAACCCCTTTACTCTGATACCCCTAACTAAAATCTAGTGGAACCAATTGCCTTCAGAACTCACCTAAGGGGGCTGAATACAAATGCACGCCACTCTTTTCAAAAAATTTTCATACTTGTCATACCCTTTGAAATTTTGCATATTTTGTCATGTTACAACCAAAAACATATAAATGTATTTTATTGGGATTTTATGTGATAGACCAACACAAAGTGGCACATAATTGTGAAGTGGAAGGAAAATGATAAATTGGTTTTCAACATTTTTGACAAACAAATATCTGAAAAGTGTGGCATGTATTTGTATTCAGACCCCTTTACTCCGATACCCCAAACTAAAATCTAGTGGAACCAATTGCCTTCAGAACTCACCAAGGGGGCTGAATACAAATGCATGCCACACTTTTCAAACATTTTTTTGCAAGTAGATATGTGAAAACCATTTATTAATTTCCTTCCACTTTACAATGATGTGCCACTTTGTGTTGGCCTATCACATAAAACCCCAATAAAAACACATTTACGTTTTTGGTTGTAACATAAAATGTGGAAAATTTCAAGGGGTATGAATACTTTTTCAAGGCACTGTATCGTCTCGGGATGCAGCTTTGTTGAGTAAAAATGGAAATTAGATGCCAGGAAACAGTTACAGGGGGGTGGAAGAAGGGTTAATAGTTGCCTAGAGATGGACAATTAATTCATCACGCATGAGAAAAGCACGGGATTACATAATAAACTTCTGCTCATACTGCTTCCCTTTAACCCCTCGCCCTCCTGAGGATTACCCCCTCTTGCTGGCCAGGCCATTTTTTGCATTATGGCGCTACGTTACTTTAACTGACAATTGCTCAGTCATGCAACGCTGCACCCAAATGAAATTTACATCCTTTATGTCCCACAAATAGAGCTTTCTTTTGATGGTATTTGATCGCCTGTGCATTTTTTATTACTTGCCAATTGCGCGGTCATGCAACATGTACCCATATGAATTTTTTTGCATTTTTTGAGACAGATAAAACTTTATTTTGTGGTATTTATTCACCACTGGCATTTTTATTTTGTTTGCTGATAAACAGAAAAAGTCCAAAATTTTTGGAAAAAAGTGGTTTTTTATAAAATTTTGCAAATAAATAATATTTCTTCCTAAATCTTATTTTGTTTTGCTATAAAAAAAAAAAAGTAACCAAAATTATTTTTTAAAAAAAAGTTGTTTTTTTTATTTTTATTTTTAAATGGGTTTTTTTTTGCAACATACTGTCAACCTAGCAGTACAGAGTCACCATAGTGGGGGGGTGATGATTTTTTTTTTTTTTTTTTTATACTGATTCCTTTTACCCCGATAAAGGCTGTAAAAGCAATAATTTCTCCTCTCTGGCTCTGTTCCTGCAGCCAGAAAACTGTGCAAGCTGTGATTTCACAGCTTGTCACATGGTACAAGGCTGTTGTGAATAGCCCTGTACCATGTGACCTCTGTTCATTCACAGATTTCACACGTAGTAAGCAATGATGTCAGAAGTGACATCTTGCTTAACCTATTCATGTGATCACTGATTGGCCAATCAATGATCACATGAATCGGGACCTCCCACAGAGGTCACTTAGGACGATCGGTGTTCCACTGTGTCCGGATTGGCCAATCAGTGATCACACAGAGGTCCCGTACAGCGATCGAAGTTCCGCCAGACACAGCAGGCCCTGGATCACGGTGCTGCACGCTCCCAGGGAGCACGCACAGGCAGGGAAGCGGGGAGGACTTTTATAAACAGCCACCCGCTCCTGCACTCCTCCCGTCCAGCCGTTTATATACATGGGCCGGACAGGAAGTGGTTAAGTATATAGCTGAATTCAATAAATGATCACATGGGGTTCATACATGATTTTTCTATATTCTCTGAAAAGAAGGAGTTAGTTTCAAAATAACGATTGTCTGGCAGCTTTCTTTTTCTCTCTCTCATCCCTTTAGAATGGTAAAGTGTCTGCTGCACAGGAAACCAGATGAGGTAGTGCGTGAAAAGCAAGCAGAGATACACCTACATTACAGGCTGGTTTTCTATTAACTGAAAGGTCGCACTGAATACACAAGCCTACTTCGCTCCAGGCAATGGCGCCCGACTAAACGCACTGCAGAGTAGCGATCTGTGGAGTTTACAGTTCCATACATAATTCATCCCCCAGAGGTCACCTACCTGCTGATAAAAGAAATTTAAGGTCGGCTTATCCTCTGCGAATTGGTTGAGAAACCCTTTGGGCAAATACCGAATCCTCAGCTCATACCTGCAAAGCAGAAAGAAATCAACATAAGCGCCATAGAGCACGATGTGTTTTACTAGACATGGTGTTACCAAAGACATCAATACTGAAAACCAATGATTGTGGGACACTTGACGTCCACCAAAGCCCTTCTAATACATAGCAGGATAAAGTTATTATAATTTGAATTTTAGCCGGCTCTTTATAAAGGGACCCTGTCATCACATGAATAGCAATGCTGAAGGTAAAATCTGCAGCAGCCTCCAACACCCCACTGTTACAGCTGAAATCCAGGCGTTGTGACAGGCACATCTCTGACCCATAGAGGAAGTGTCGGAGCTTTCCACAACCTATAGACAAAAACATCTCTGCAACACATGCATTACTCCCCATAAAAATACATGTGCTAACCTGCCAGAAATCGTCTGACAAAGCTGCTGCCCTAAAATCTCAAGTAATGTTATCAGTATTGCCCATTTCTCTTCTTTTTCTGGACTAGAGATTACCTTGTCTTCTTTATAATATAGTGGGGGGGGGGGGGGGGGGGGGGGGGGGGGGTGTTCTGTAGAAAATATACTTACCTGAGGCACAAAGATGGGGATGATGTTATAATCCCTCCAGAAGGACATTGGGAACATTGAGGATAGTACAAGTAGCTCTTGTTCTGTCTCTCCAATCTATGCATTGAAAGTGTGATCTCTGTAACTTACAGTTGTGATGAGATAAATAACTCCATTCTCAGTTGGATACCACAGTCAGTGACTCAATCGAGGTGATATCTTGTAGATCGTGTGAAGTTTATTACATAAACTGAGAGAACCTTACAACAATGAACATCTGATAGGTCAAAATATATAATGTTTCCTGCTTCATGACATGAGGCTAGAGCTGCAATGCATTTCTGGGGAAAAGGGTGGGCTATCTATACAGCATTAACTAATGCAAAGGAAAAGGAGGAGCAGAGACAAAATATAGAAAACACTTAAAGGCATATGAGTCATGTGAACCATGACAAGCTTGATTTAGTCCATATAGTCCACAAGGACTATAGTCGCAGGACATTAATGGGGTATAAAAATGCATATTTTTGTCTGGAAGATCAAGTACGTGGTAAGATTTGTACGTGTGTAAGGTGTAGTTTTTGGACCAGTGCAGAGAATCAGGGCTGTGTGTACATCTGCACATCTTTGTTCGCTAATGCGCATGCATGACCAGCACTGGCTTTTGGCATCCAGTGGACTATTTAAGGCACAACAGGAATTGCGGAGTGGTCGTCAGCTTAGGTGACTTGTGATCAGAGCTGCTTCTTGGTTATCCCCATCTTGCCTCCTTACTCCACTTGATCCTGATCGGTTGCTGACCTTGGCTTGTGTTCTGTCTCTATCCTGAGGCTGCTGTTTTTGTACTTCTGCCCATCTGATATCAACCCCGCCTGGCTTTTGATTTTGATTCTGCCCGCTAGATTGATACCTCTTCTACTAGGGTTATTGTTTTCTCAAACTGACTACGGCTTGGATTCCTGCATTTTAGAGTCTCTGTGCTCCAATCTGTACAAGTTCCATTTTAGCATCCCAACAATATCCAGATTGTCATCTGACCATCCATGGGGTCAGGAACTGCCACAGGCACCGTGCCACTGTGCCGCCTCCTACAACCTCTCACCAATTCCAGGGGGTATTGGACAGAAGGCATAAGGGACGTCCTCTTGTCAAAGATTAGAGGAACTGAATTTATTCGCTCTTTAGAAGAGAAGATTAAGGTGGGATATGATCACCATGTATAATACATAAGGGGGATATGATCTCCATGTATAATACACAAGGGGGGGATATGATCTCCATGTATAATACATAAGGGGGATATGATCTCCATGTATAATACATAAGGGGGATATGATCTCCATGTATAATACATAAGGGGGGATATGGATCACCATGTATAATACATAAGGGGGGATATGATCTTCATGTATAATACATAAGGGGGGATATGATCTCCATGTATAATACATAAGGGGGATATGATCTCCATGTATAATACACAAGGGGGGGATATGATCTCCATGTATAATACATAAGGGGGGATATGATCTCCATGTATAATACATAAGGGGGATATGATCTCCATGTATAATACATACAAAGGGGGGATATGATCACCATGTATAATACATAAGGGGGGATATGATCTTCATGTATAATACATAAGGGGGGATATGATCTCCATGTATAATACATAAGGGGGGATGTGATCACCATGTATAATACATAAGGGGGGATATGATCACCATGTATAATACATAAGGGGGATATGATCACCATGTATAATACATAAGGGGGGGTATGATCTTCATGTATAATACATAAGGGGGATATGATCTCCATGTATAAATACATAAGGGGGATGTGATCACCATGTATAATACATAAGGGGGGATATGATCTCCATGTATAATACATAAGGGGGGATATGATCTCCATGTATAATACATAAGGGGGGATATGATCTCCATGTATAATACATAAGGGGGGATATGATCTCCATGTATAATACATAAGGGGGGATATGATCACCATGTATAAATACATAAGGGGGATATGATCTCCATGTATAATACATAAGGGGGGATATTATCTCATGTATAATACATAAGGGGGGATATGATCTCCATGTATAATACATAAAGGGGGATATGATCTCCATGTATAATACATAAGGGGGGATATGATCTCCATGTATAATACATAAGGGGGGATATGATCTCCATGTATAATACATAAGGGGGGATATGATCACCATGTATAATACATAAGGGGGATATGATCACCATGTATAATACATAAGGGGGGATATGAATCACCATGTATAATACATAAGGGGGATATGATCACCATGTATAATACATAAGGGGGATGTGATCACCATGTATAAATACATAAGGGGGGGTATGATCTTCATGTATAATACATAAGGGGGATATGATCTCCATGTATAATACATAAGGGGGATGTGATCACCATGTATAATACATAAGGGGGGATATGATCTCCATGTATAATACATAAGGGGGGATATGATCTCCATGTATAATACATAAAGGGGGATATGATCTCCATGTATAATACATAAGGGGGGATATGATCACCATGTATAATACATAAGGGGGGACATGATCACCATGTATAATACATAAGGGGGGATATGATCTCCATGTATAATACATAAAGGGGGATATGATCTCCATGTATAATACATAAGGGGGGATATGATCACCATGTATAATACATAAGGGGGGACATGATCACCATGTATAATACATAAGGGGGGATATGATCACCATGTATAATACAATAAAGGGGGGATATGATCTCCATGTATAATACATAAAGGGGGATATGATCTCCATGTATACTACATACAGGGGATATGAATAACTCCATGTATAATACATAAGGGGGGATATGATCTCCATGTATAATACATAAGGGGGGATATGAATCTCCATGTACAATACATAAGGGGGATATGATCTCCATGTATAATACATAAGGGGGATATGATCACCATGTATAATACATAAGGGGGGATATGATCTCCATGTATAATACATAAGGGGGATATGATCTCCATGTACAATACATAAGGGGGGATAATGATCTCCATGTACAATACATAAGGGGGATATGAACATGTACAGAACACATAAGGGGGGATATGATCACCATGTTATAATACATAAGGGGGGATATGATCACCATGTATAATACATAAGGGGGGATATGATCTCCATGTATAATACATAAGGGGATATGATCTCCATGTATAATACATAAGGGGATATGAATCACCATGTATAATACATAAGGGGGGGTATGATCACCATGTTATAATACATAAGGGGGGGATATGATCTCATGTAATAATACATAAGGGGGATATGATCTCCATGTATAATACATAAGGGGGATATGATCTCCATGTATAATACATAAGGGGGGGTATGATCTCCATTATAATAATACATAAGGGGGTGGTATGATCTCCATGTATAATACATAAGGGGGGATATGATCTCCATGTTATAATACTATAAGGGGGGATATGATCACCATGTATAATACATAAGGGGGGATATGATCACCATGTATAATACATAAGGGGGATATGATCACCATGTATAATACATAAAGGGGGGATATGATCTCCATGTATAATACATAAGGGGGATATGATCTCCATGTATAATACATAAGGGGGGATATGATCTCCATGTATAAAACATAAAGGGGGGACATGATCTCCATGTATAATACATAAGGAGGATGTGATCACCATGTATATAATACATAAGGGGGATATGAATCTCCATGTATAATACATAAGGGGGGATACTGATCTCCATGTATTAATACATAAGGGGGGACATGATCTCCAATGTATAATAAATAAGGGGATATGATCTCCATGTATAATACATAAGGGGGGGATTATGATCTCCATGTATAATACATAAGTGGGGGATATGATCTCCATGTATAATACATAAGGGGGGATAATGATCTCCATGTATCAATACATA